TAACTTCCCTATGAAGGAGAATGTGATAAGTGCACAGAGGGTATAGGTCAAATGCTACAAGAAATTGGAAAAGGAAGAGACAGAAGCCTTCAGGTGATGGGAGATGACCAGGCAGATGACTCCTAAAATTGTATTTCAGCCCTCACCTCTCTCCTGAACTCCAGTAGCACATTTTACATCTCAAACTTAAAATGTCCAAATTAGAACCCATCACCCTATTCTCCTCCAAATTTCCTTATTTCTGTTGAGGGTACCAATAGACACCAACAGTCATCCTTAACTCTTTTTTTTTGTGGGGGGGGTGGGAAGTAATCAAAGTTAAGTGACTTGCGCTAGTAAGTGTCAAGGGTCTGAGGTCATATTTGAACTCGGGTCCTCCTGACTCCACAGCAGGTAATCTGTCCACTTCACCACTTACCTGCCTCGCCTCCTTAACTCTTCACTGTCCTTTACCCCCCATACACAGTCAGCTGCCAAGTCTTAGTGATCCTACCAGCACATCTCACATTCACAACCTTCCTTCCACCAACAGCCAGTCTCCTAGCTCAGGCCCTTATGCTTCTGCAGCCGCCTTAGGTGCCCGGCTTCTGGATGCTCCCCCTTCCAATTCATCCTCTCTAAAGCTGCCCAACCTTCCATGATTCCAGACTGCCTCCAGGATAACACAAAGAGTCCTCGGCTTGGCATTCAAAGCCCTTCCTTCCCGTGTTTATTTCACAGTGCTCTTCGTCATTTTATATTCCCTCCACACTGGCCTACGATCCACCACGTATGATGCTCCTCTATCCCTCTGCACAGGCTGGCCCAACCATGCAATCCACTTCCATCTTACCTCCCTCCTGTTAAAAACATCAGCTTTCTTTAAAACTCAATTCACCTTCTAGCTTTTCTTGATCCTCTGGGTTGTTTCGTACTATCTCTTTCCTCAAATTACCTTGTGTTTGCCCTTTTGTATATTCTAGTAGGGCTTTATCAGAACTAGGACTGGAAAGAAAAAAAGGATTTCAAGAGCCTGAGGTGAGGATGCATTCCATGCTTGAGTGATGCCCTACATAGAGGAAAGGCAGGGCAGGAGGAGAGCAGGAATTCTTTATCTAGCTTGACTTAAAATATAAAGTGCTAAAAGGGGAGTGAAGCGAAACAAGGATACAAAGGTTAATTGGAGTCAGACTGAGGAGGGCCTTGAATCCAATCCAATAAGTATTTATAAAGCACCTACTACGTGCAACTACACTAGGTTGTTGTTTAGTCAAGTAGTCGTGTCCAGCTCTTCGTTCTTAGCAGGGGTATTGCCATTTCCTTCTCCAGCTCATGAGGAAGAAACTGAGGCAAACAGGGTGAAGTGACTTATCCAGTCACACAGCTAGTGTCTGAGGTCAGATTTGAACCCAGGTCCTCCTGACTCCAGGGCTAGCACTCTATCCCTGCGTCCCCTAGCTGCCCCAGGAGGGGGAAGGAGGTAAAAAAGACAAAAACAAAACATAGTCCCTGACCTCAGGGACATTCTAGTAGTGGATTCAATGGATAAATACATATGTGATTATTTCGGGAGGGAGAAAGCACTAACAATTAGGGGGATCCGAGACGGCTTCCCAACGTGGGTAGCACATGAGCTGAATTTTAAAGGAAGCTAGAGATCCTAACAGGCCCAAGTGAGGAAGGAATGTATGTATTCCAGACTTGGGAGATAGCCTAAGCAAAGGTTTTGGAAGACGCAATGCTGAGCCAGGGGACAGAATAAGAAATGTGTCTTTTATTTGTCTGGCATTGAAAAGTTTTGTATGATCAGAGAAGATTATGTAAGCAGCAGTGTACAGGGGGGATCAGAAGAGGGGAACGTGGGGGAGGAACACTGGTTGAGAGCCTGTTACCATATTTCAGGATCACAGCTCAGATGGTTGGAGTCATGGTAGAAAAGAAGAGCAGGATAGGTTAAGTCAGAGGACATCAAAGATAAAATATCAGTATCAAAGATAGAAACCAGGATTTGGCAATTAACTGGATATGAGGAATGAGGGAAAGGGAAGAGTCAAAGAAGATGGAGATTTTGAGCTTGAGTAATTGGTATGATGGTAAAAATTGGGAAGTTGGGAAAAATAAGGGAGGAGCTCAGTTTGAGACACATTGAGTCTGAAATGATGGTGGAACAACCAGGCAGCAATGCCCAGCAGGCAGGTGGGGATGCAGCACTGATACTAGTTCTGTGGGTCTTCTGAACAGAGAAGTTAACCAAAGCCATGGGAATGGATGAGTTCACCAAATGAGTCAGTGGAGAGAGAGAAGAGATGGACCAGTGCATTCAGGGAAAGTTGTTGTTCAGTCATTTTTCAGTCGTGTCCAACTCTTTGTGACCCCCTTTTGGGGTTTTCTTGGCAGAAATACTGGACTAGTTTGCCATTTCCTTCTCTAGCTCATTTTACAGATGAGGAACTGAGGAAAGCAGAGTTAAGTGACTTGCCCAAGGTCACACAGTTATTAAGTGTCTGAGGCTGGATTTGAACTGAAGTCTTCCTGACTCCAGGGATGGCATTCTATCCACTGTACCACCAAGCTATCCATATTTCTCAATAAGGAAAGAGAAGATAACTATTAATCAGACAAGAGGACATGTCAGTCAGATAGAAAGCGAACCAGGGAACAACAGTGTCATGGTAGCCAAAGGAAAAGAATATAAAGAAAAACAGAGAGGTCAACAGTGTCAGATTCAATAGGCGAGGATGAAAAGTGAGAAAAGTCAGTTTAGAGGTCATTTATGATCTCAGAGAGAGGTTTCAATAAAGTATGATTGGAAGATAAATTTCAAGGAGATTTAGAGTTAAGTATCAGCAGTGAATGTAGACTGCTCCTTTGGGGAGTTTACTGGTGCCATCTTGTGAGTGTGTGTGTGTGTGTGTGTGTGTGTGTGTGTGTGTGTGAGAGAGAGAGAGAGAGAGAGAGAGAAAGAGAGAGAACAAGAGAGACAGAAAGAGATGTAGGATAAAAGCTTGTGGGGATAGCAAGGTAGACAGTTTGTTTTTTGTTTTGGGTTTTTTTTTTGTTTGTTTTTTTAAGGATAAGGGAGACCTGAATATATTTGTAGGTAGCAGGGAAGGAGCCAAATGAGAAGGGAAAAATCAAAAATAAGAGAATGACCAATAGAACAAGGTTCTAAAAGAGATGATGGTAGCATTCTTGGCAAGAAGGATCACCACCTAATCCCGTGAGACGGTACAGTGGAGGAGGAGAAATGTAAGAACAAAGAGGTTTTGAGGTCTAAGAGTGGAGGATTGAGGGAGCTGATGTCTGGTGACCTCAATTCCCTTCTAAAGTAGGAGGTAAGGTCATCTGCTAAGGGAAAAGGGAGTGGCATGGAACTGGAGGCTTAAAGAAAGAGAAAACTTGGAACAGCCTCTGAGGGACAGGTTACAGTTGAAGAGTAATTATCCCATGTCAGCAAAACCTCCAGAAATGTAGTGAAAAACACATGACAAAGAAAAGTAGTTGAGTTGGGGTTTTTTTTTTTTTTTGCATGAGTTTTTTTAAAAGCCATTCATTTTAAAACATCTACTACCTGACCTGTGTGTCCTGAAACTTCTGGGATGTGGAGGGAAGGAGAAGGGGAGAAATCCTTAAATCTAAGGGGGAACAGTTCACCACAATTCCCACTTTTATTTAATCATAGTTACTGAAATGGAACTGAGATAAATTAATAGCCTAGACACTGATCTTGGTCATGTGAAAGGAATCTGTAGCCCCCTTTTCTTTGCCAACAGACCGAGAAAAGATAATGGGTAGGGGCAGCTAGGTGACACAGTGGATAGAGCATCAGCCCTGGAGTCAGAAGGACCTGAGTTCAAATCCTCAGATACTTACTAGCTGTGTGACCCCAAGCAAGTCACTTAACCCTGACTGCCCGGGAAAAAAAAAAAAAAAAGATAATGGGTGAAAACTGGGTGGATTCCAGATAACTAAGATAGGACCTATTTCTTGAGCTGATTCAGTAAGCAGGGAGTGAACCTGTGGTACAATGGACCCTGAAGAATCAGTAATATATGGTGCAGGTACAAACTGCTTGGTCTGTACTAGAAGTTACTGACATGTTGAACTACACACCCTATGACCAGTTTATTCCCAAAAGGCAGTATGCTTGAAACACTAGTTTATAAGAACAGCAACAGTAATGACGTTTGTACAACAATTTACATATATTATTACATTTGAGCTTCAAATCAGTCCTATAACATAGGTTTCATAGTATTATCCCCATTTTATAGATGAAGAAACTGAGGTTCAAAAATGTTAAGTGCCTTTTTCCTGGCCACACAGATATCAAAGGTAGGGTTTGAACCTAGGTCTTCCAGCCTATCTAGTGCTATTTCCCAACATTTTTATATCTTCTAGGATCAGATAAAATTATAAACCTCAATTCCCATCCCCCACCCCGGCTCTAAAACAGTGTTTCTTTACCTTCATTTTGTAAATCTGCATTTCTGCTCTTCACCTCCTACCACATATATAATCCCTACACCACTCCCATCTCAGCTCCTCTGCCCTCCAAGTTAGCAGTCCTGCCCATCAACTCTGTCCTTCATCTGCATCCCCTTGGTGGCATCTTCTAATCCTACAGATGCCACTCAAAAAGCCCAAAAGCCCAAAAATCAACAGGGCTGCCCAGACCAGGCTTTTATTTGGGTGGAGGATGGAAGGAAGTTCTGTTCTCCACCACGCCAGTCTTGTCTCGCACCAGCCTAAAGCTGTTAGCTGCCTATGATCTACAGAATAGATAACGATGATCCAGATTCAGCCATTCTCCCCCTACACCCTTCATCTGCACTAAGATTCCAGTTTAGTTTTCTAAAGAAATGCCAAAGAGGTTTGACTACAGCTGCAAAATAAAACAGCTAGACCCCGTGAGTCTTTCAGATCTAATGCAATAGGTGCTATTTATTTGCCCAACTATTTGCGGAGTACACTAATGCACATCCTGATTCCTGTCATTTTTAACCTGAACGGGCACTTACCAGATATTAACCTGAGCTCGCCCAGGCAGCCGTAAGCATCTATGAGTTTCCCATACTGTCCTTTAATTACCTCCTTTTCTTCTGGAGCTGAGGAAGAAACAGAATAAGCATCCACGTTAGTCTGTCGTTCAGGGTTCATTCAGACTGCAGTGTGTTCCATCTGGCTTCCCTCCCACTCTGAAAGGGGGAAAAAAGGAAAAGGAAAAAAAGAGAAACCAGACAATAGCACAAAACGGGTGGAAGTTTTTTATGATGGTAAATTATAGCGCTGCAAAGTGATAGGAAATTCTCCTGAATGGCTGGATGTTTAGAAACCCAGACCTGCTCCTAAGGAAAGAGAGAGGTAAATCCCAAATAAGGCCCACTCCACCCTGACTCTTTCTTCAGACCAACGGAGCAGACTCCTCCCGGGCCTCATACTGTGGGCTCACACTATAACACAAGCACACGCCATATGTTCAAAAAAAAGGGGACTAATTTATTATTAACCATTTTGGGCCCTCCTTCAGAAAGAAATAAGGGCTGGTGATTTAATCCTTGAAATCACCAATTCAGTTTTAATTTACCTCCAATGTATCAGGGGAGAAAATAGGTAGTCTGCAAATGAGAAGAAGAATGTCACATTTCTCCCTCCTGCCTCCCCTCCCCCCCCAATTCTGGGACAGACGGTAATCCTAGGCTCCTCTTACTCAAATCCTATACAAACTGACTCTCTCCAAGCTGGCCCCTGCCGGGACCATTAACAATTGCTGCCCCCAAAACCCAAAGAGATTACCTGGCTTAAAAACAGAAACAAGCAACAACAGTAACGACAAAAGACCAACTTTGCTGTCAAGTGGGGCAGATGGAAAACATCACATCAAGTCCTATTAAGTACAAGGAAGATAACCTCAAAAAATACTAAATCTCAAAGAGAGAACTCAGACTTTCCACAAAAAGCTAAGAACCAAAGGATAGACAAAAAGTAAATGAGAAAAAAAAAAGTTTTTTGAAATGCACAGCCTTAGCGAGAGGTCATCCAGAATGGCAACCAATAGAATCACTAACATTTTATCTCTCCCTCACTATGCCCCTTCTCCCCCCACTCCCAACACCTTATTCAAATGTCGAGTCTTATTGATTGTACAATATCTCCAGTATCTCTCCCACAGGTCGTCTTTTAAATCACACACACACACACACACACACACACACAACCACACACGCGAGCGCAGACAGCTAGGTGGCTCAGTAAATACAGCACTGGCCATAAAGTCAGGAGGATCTGAGTCCAAATCCGGTCTCAGAGCAAACACTTGACACTTGTTAGCTGTGTGTGACCCTGGGCAAGTCACTTAACCCCAATTGCCAAAAAACAAACAAACAAAAAAAAACACTACTCCGGTAAATCTGTCTCTCTCTCTCTCTCTCTCTCTCTCTCACACACACACCCTTCTTCATCCATGCTTCTCACCTAGATTATTGCAATGGCTTCCTATATCAACTTTCTTCCCTCTCCAATCCGCCTTCCCCAAAGCTGCCACAGTGATATTCCTAATCTTGACATCAGAAACAAAGCACAGTGTGACAAGTCCCTCTGAATCTCAATAAACTTCAATAACTCACTATTAATCACCTCTAGGCTCAAATACAAACTCCTCTGCATGGCATGTAAAGCCCTTTAGCACCCCGCTTCAACTTAACCTTCCCAGTCTTATTATATATTTCTCTATTCCCCTACTTTTATTTCATGGCCCAGTGAAACTGGCTTCCTTGCAGTTCATCACCCATGACTTTCCATCTTTCATCTTCATGTGTTAGCACTGTTTGTCACTGTCCCCTATGCCTGGAATGCACTCCCTCTTCACTGTTCTCAGAATTCCTAGCTTCTTTCAAAACTCAGCTCAGGGACCAGCTGGTACAGGAGAACTTTCCTAATCTTCTCAGCTGCTAATGTCCTCCCCAACCCTAAAATTACCTTGTATCCACTCTGTATTTACTTTCTTATGTCCAGTACATGTAGTTCTCACCCTCCCGCAATACAATCTAAGCTCCTAGAGAGTAAGGTTTTTTTAAGTTATTGTCTCTTTAGCCCCTGTACCTGGCAAACAGTAGGTACTTAATGCATAATTTATTGATTTGACTACCAAGACGTTAGGCTCATAACCTCATGTTAGAGATTGCCATATGCTTTCCAGAACACCTTACATCCTATGTTACCTCGGCAAAGGCACGGGCAGAGAACAACCTAAGACAGAGGCAGATAAAAGCCAAAAATAGAATTGTAAAGGAGACGATTTTTGATTGGAGAGTTGAAGGCATTCTCATTCCCTTCAAAGTCCTTCCCACCCCAAGGAACCAATCTTGTGCCGTCAGTTATCTAAAAAAAATCTAGGAGGACCTAGGGAACCATGGTTAGCTCCCATCCCTTGGAACTCCCTCTCCTTTGGTTGATGGTACATCATCCTCCAGCCACTGGGATTTGGAGTCCCTAAGAGAGGCCATTCTTCAGTATTAATTTATCTTGAGTTAAGGCCTGGAAAGATGAAGAAGCTCTTTCATTCACATATTTAAATAAATTAGTATAATGAATTAACTTTCAACCCAACTCTAAGCTATGGGAATTGGAACAGAGACAAAGGAGAAGACGGACTGACTTGGAGTGCCAGAGGGCTTGTCATAGGGAGCTTAAGCAGATGTCAGAAGGAAATAGAAAATAATAATTGTGAGCATTTATATGGTAATTTAAGGTTTGGAAAAATACTAAATCATTTTCTCCTCACAACTACCCAAGTAGGTAGGTAGTTTGTTGAACTGAGGCTAAGTGATTCACTCATGGTCACACAGCTAGATGGTGTCTAAGGCCAGGTCTTCCTAACTCCAGGTCTAGTGCGCTATCCACTGTACCACCCAGATATCTCTGGACAAAGAATGGAAGTGGGAAGACTCTCAAGTCAAAAAAGGCCTGTTCAGAAATTTTTCTAAGATATCACACTAGCCACTCCCTTTCTACCTCCCAGAGGCCTGATAAAAGTCAAGTCAATTTCTGAAGTTAGGGAACTCTAGGCTAAATACCTTTATAGAAGAAAGGGAAATTCCACATATTCATCTTCTTGTCTGGTAAAGCTGACAATGTTTGCTTGGGGTGCAGTGGGTCAAATGGATCCACAGACAGGATAGCTATGGAAACTCACTCTAGGAATCAGAGAAGAGACTCCAGGTATAGACTGTTCATTTATTTGTTTGCTATTATCTCCACATATTTTAAGCTGAAAAAAAAAATGTTTCTCAATACCTCAATTCACAAGCAACATGGTTGCTAAGCCTTTCCCGGTTTTCCTTTAAACTATTACAAAGTTTTTGCAATTTTGCTGAGGATTATTTTACTACTAGGAGTTTCAGGGAACTGACAGGACATGAAATAAAATGTTACTGTTTTTTCACTATTCTCTAGCAGAACTAAAGGCATTCTCTTTTACATTTCTGATTTTCTCTTACCCCTTTCATCAACTGATAGCTAAAGCATAGGGAAGTTTACATAGATTAAAGGCTTAGCCAAGGTTCATCTGCATTACACAAGCTGGTATGGGTGGCCCATTCCTGGAAGATCCCTCAGACAAGGGAAAAGTGACTAACTGGAGGGCTTTGGTCAGGCCCCCTAGTCCATGGGGACCAAGTGGCAGTAGGTTGACGCTACTGGAGGTGTGAGGATCTTAATGTTTCTTAAGGATTTTAATTTTCTTTTTTTCAATAGAGGGGGAAAATAAACGTTTATTAATTTAAAAAAATTAAAGAAAAAAAAAGAAACTGCCTCTTCTAAGATACAATAGGAAGTCCTCAGCTTGGCATTTAAAGCCCTTCAGAATCTAGCTCCCAACAGATCTTTCTAGGATTACTTCACATTACTCCCCCTTACCAACTCTATGGCGAAGCCAAACTGACCTACGTGCTGTTTCCCAAAGATTCCATTCCATTCCTACCTCTGAGACTTTGCATAGATTGTCCTCCACACTCCACATGCCTCAGTGTTTTCCCTCTTCACTGTAGCTTCTGGAATACTCCCTTCTCTTTAAAATCCCACTTGGGTGCCACCTACTCCGTTCCTGATGTTCCCCTTCTCCGAATGGTACTCTCGTTCCCCTTCTGAAATACTTTGTATCTCTTCTGCATTTGTTTATCTCTGTACATGACACATTTCTCCTCAGTAAAATATAAGTTTTTTAAGGGCTGAAAATGTTTTATTTTGTCTTTGTATCTTCGGCCTTGCACATCACAGACACTTAGTGAATACTTATTAAAAACTAATTGTATTATCTCATTTCATCTCTGCAACAATTCAATGTAGGTATTATTACTGTATCTCCATGATCAGAGACTTTAAATGCTTTTCCACGAATGACACAGCTAGTAAGTGTTGAAAGCCAGATTTGAACCAAGTTCTCTTCTGACCCTTTCCACTACGCCCTAATTCCTAAACGCTAATAATATCCTAACATGCATAAAGCAGAGTTGAACCGGAGTCCCCTATTCAGCAGGCACCCAGCCCAGATTAATACTCAGGAAGAAACAAATGTGCTTTTGCCTTTAATGAGGTTTTCTGCAATAAGATGCTTTGATGGCATCTCCTTTCTAAAGCAGACAAATGCTAGCTATGCCCAGCCCTAAGGTAGTAACACATAATAAAGTAGGTCGAGTCTGCAAAAAAGCAAAAGCAAAGAGACTGTGGGAAATGATTTGCAAGGAAGTTCTTGCCCAGAACATTAAACTATCTTCTTGCATTTGACTGTCCTTGAAGGAGAGAAAACTCCAAAAGATTAAGATAACAGCCACCTCGAGTGCTACTTTTGAATATGTCAGAGTAGCAGGTGGAGGGATACTCAATGAACCTCTATTAGTTGGTAGCAAACACAGCTCTTCAAAAAGGCAACTCTTAGCAAAGGTTGCTAAGCAAAATACAAAACAAAACTTCTTTATGGAAAAGAGGCCTGAGCAATTAACCCAAAACCAACAAACAGCTTCTGTGAAGCCTTATTGTAAAGGTGCAACTTCCCATATTCCTAGCTGTGCAAAAACCACAAACCACAAAAATCACCCAGTGGGAAATAGCA